AACAGGCTGGATGCTAGAAGGGCAGTCCTTTCTAGTATTCACTGGAGATCTCTAAGCTTTTCGAATCGCGTTTTTTGTAACAATGTGTGAGTGAGGTGAAAGTGTTAAATAATGATGAAAGTATTTTCCTTTTGGGGATTTTCTTTTTTTTTGGGTTACCCTGCCTCGGTGGGAGACGGCCGACTTGTTAAAAAAAAAAAATTGCCCTTAGACAGGACATCTCCACTGCCTCCAACCACCTCGCTGCTGCATTCACAACCCAAGCGTCACTCCCATGTAAGAGTGTTGGTACTACTATACTTTCATACATTCCCTTCTTTGTCTACATAGATAACGTTTCTTTTGTCTCCACGTATACCTCAACGCACCACTCACCTTTTTTTCCTTCATCAATTCTATGATTAACCTCATCCTTCATAAATCCATCTGCTGACACGTCAACTCCCAAGTACGTATCTGAAAACATTCACTTCTTCCATACTCCTCCTCCCCAATTTGATATCCAATTTTTCTTTATCTAAATCATTTGATACCCTCATCACCTTACTCTTTTCTATGTTCACTTTCAACTTTATACCAAACTCATCCACTAACCTTCGCAATTTTTCTTTATATCTCCATAAGCACAGTATCATCAGCAAACTGTGTCAATTCCCATTTTGTATTTGAATCCCCACAATTTAATCCCACCCCTCTCCTGAACACCCTAGCATTTACTTCTTTTACAACCCCATCTATAAATATATTAAACAACCATGGTGACATTACACATCCGTCTAAGACCTACTTTTACCGGGAAGTAGTCCCCCTCTCTTCTATACACCCTAACCTGAGCCTCACTGTCCTCAAAAACTTTACACCATTTAGTAACTTACTACCTATTCCATATACTTGCAACATCTGCCACATTGCTCCCCTATCCACTCTATCATATGCCTTTTCTAAATCCATAAATGCAATAAAAACTTCCCTACCTTTATCTAAATACTGTTCACATATATGCTTCAACGTAAACACTTGATCTACACATCCCCTACCCACTCTGAAACCTCCTTGTTCATCTGCAATCCTACATTCTGTCTTACCTCTAATTCTTTCAATTATAACCCTACCGTACACTTTTCCTGGTATACTCAGTAAACTTATTCCTCCATAATTTTTACAATATCTCTTGTCCCCGTTCCCTTTATATTAAGGGACTATGCATGCTCTCTGCCAATCCCTAGGTACCTTCCCCTTTCATACATTTTATTAAACAAAAGTACCACCACTCCAACACTATATCCCCCCCCCCTGCTTTTAACATTTCTGTCATGATCCTGTCAGTTCCAGCTGCTTTACCCCCTTTCATTCTACGTAATACCTCACGCACCTCCCCCACACTCATATCCTGTTCTTCTTCACTCCTAAAAGATGGTATACCTCCCTGGCCAGTGCATGAAATTACAGCTTCCCTTTCTTCATCAACATTTAAAAGTTCCTCAAAATATTCTAGCCATCTACCCAAAACCTCCATCTCCCCATCTACTAACTCCCCTACTCTGTTTTTAACTGACAAATCCATTCGTTCTCAAGGCTTTCTTAACTTGTTTAACTCACTCCAAAATTTTTTCTTACTTTCATTAAAATTCCTTGACACTGCCTCTCCCACTCTATCATCTGCTCTCCTTTTGCACTCTCTCAACCTTTCTTTTACTCTCCATATACTCTACTCTTCTTATAACGCTTCTGCTTTGTAAAAACTCTCATAAGCTAACATTTTCTCTTTTATCACCCCCTTTACTTCATTCCACCAATCACTCCTTTTTTCCTCCTGCACCCACCCTCCTATAACCACAAACTTCTGCCCCACATTCTAATACTGCATTTTTAAAACTATTCCAACCCTCTTCAGCCTCCCTACTACTCATACTTGCCCCAGCCCACCTTTCTGCCAATAGTTGCTTAAATCTCACTGAACTTCCTCCTCCCTTAGTTTATACACTTTTACCCCCCTCTTGCTTGTTGCTGCCATTTTCCTCTTTTCCATCTACCTCTTACTCTAACTGTAGCTACAACTAAATAATGACCCGATTAAATCAGTTGCCCTCTATAAACGTGTACATCCTGGAGCCTACCCATCAACCTTTTATCCACCAATACATAATCCAACAAACTACTTTCATTACATGCTATATCATACCTTTATTTATCCTCTTCTTCATAAAATACAGGTCCGCCATCACAAATCCGGCAATCAATTATTCGGTTCCTTCAGTTATTCGGCACTAATTTTGGCTAGCATAATTTCAAATTTCCAGGGTTGCCACACCAACCTGCTGGTACTGTTCGGTGGCGCTACTTGCTGCATAAGTCATTCCAATTTCTTTTTCTCCATTTATTGTTTTAACCTGCTTACTTTTAGCCCTAGCCATGGTTCCAATGAGTAAAAGAAATGCTTCTCATTATGTAAAGCACCAACACAGTACATTATCCATTGAAGATAAGGTGGCTTTGAGGCCACTGTCGGTTGTCATGAGCTCAGTCTCATGATGCAGGATAATATGCTTTATTATTACGCTAATATCAGCACTACAGCTTATTTGCCTATCACAGTTGATCTAATATGACATAAGAAACAATATAAATAACATAAAACATGTTAAATACTCCAGAATGAATAATATATGGCATAACACCGAGCAGTTCGACAGAGTTATGAAGAGGATATGGTAAACAAATACCATTCTCCTATCCTTGTCTTGGTGGCTTATATTAGAGAAAACGGAGTATATGCACAGGGCTAACTACGATATACACTCGTACTCCACCATAAACATGAAACAAAAAAGTTATTTTCTCTCTATAGATTATCTCACACAGCAGCATATGTGTAGAGAACCTAGGATAACCCCAAAATAGTCAATGTGGCTTATTTTTAGTACCTGGCTTGGGTTAGCCATATATGATTTTTGGTAAATATTCGATTCCCAGCCAAGGTAGAAACATTAGGCGTGTTTCTTTACACCTGTTGTCTATGTTTACCCTCGTAAATGGGTACTGGGTGTTAGTCGACTAGTGTGGGTGTTATCCTGGGACACTGACCTAATTTTCTTGAAATACTCAGCATAACAAGTGCCTTTCTATACAGTAGTTTGTCACTGATGTCAGCTAGGCCTGTATACCTTGTACATGTACGTGTAGTAAATAAAGATATTATTATTATTATTATTATTATTATTATTATTATTATTATTGTTACGCATTATTATATTATTATTATTATTTTCTCAGTTGTTTGTTGGGTTATCTTATTCAAACTTGGGCAATGTATGATGGAAAGATACTTCTTCAAGTACAACCAAAAAAGAAAGAAATCAGACCATAAATAGCGGAGTTCACTTCTCAGCCATTAGCGGCCACTTTTGCGGTATATTTTTGTATGGTTGTTATGGTTATATTCTCATTTTTTCGGTCTCATTTGATAGAATGAAAGATATATTACAGAAATAGATATGATTTTGATTGCTTTCATGACGAAAAGTACCCTTGAAATTCCGCTCACAGTAGCGAAATGTTCTATTCTTTAGCGAAGGTCAAGAGGTAAACAAATGACGTCACTGTCCAATACCTGTCCCCCTGCCAGTCTAAATTCCAGTACGGAGTCAAGAATGGATTGACATTATTTATAAAATTATTACAATAATGAAGTAGTCTGCATTACAGTAAATCTTTTATTTTTTTTTTTTTTTGAATAAAAATTCCAAATGGTAAGCAAGAGTAATATAAGAGGGGCCTGTAGCCGTGACTAATGAACAGAGAAAATGTTATTTTAGTGCCAGGAATGTCTGCATTGTTTATTCTGGACCCTATTTTGAAATTGGCATCTGTTGAAATTTGTGTGAAATCGGCCAAATTGCCAATTTCTAACCACTTTATTGGGTAGTTGAAATAAGTGAATGGGCGGTTTCTTGTACTCAGTTGACAGACTAGAAGCAAAAGTTTATTCAGGTATACACGAATACGTTACATAGATTATCATACATAGCAATGTATGTATAGGGAACCTAGGATAACCCAGAAAAGTCAAAGTGACTTATTTCCAGTACCTGGGTTGGGCTTGCCATATATGATTTTGGTAAATATTTTTTTTTCTCGATTGTTTGTTGGACTATCTCATTGAAACTTGGGCAATGTATGATGGAAAGATGCTTCTTGACATACAATAAAAATAAAAAAGACGGACGATAAATAAGGGAGTTCACTTCTCAGCCATTAGCCGCCTCTTTGCAGTATATTTTCGTATGGTTTTTATGGTTGTATTCTCATTTTTTGGACTCATTTGATAGAATGGAAGATATATATTACAGAAATAGACATGATTTTGATTGCTTTCATGATGAAAAGTACCTTGAAATTGAGCTCAAAGTAGCGGAAATGTTCGATTTTTGCTGATGTTCAATGAACTGTGTAAATCAAGATGATTAATTTTATTAAGTGTATTCTAACTTAACCACTCTGTAATCCGGCACACTACAGGTCCCAATGATGCCGGATTTGTGATGGAGGACCTGTATGTATTACTTATTACCAAACCTTTTTCTACACATAGCTCAATTAAAGGCTCCCCATTTTCATTTACCCCTGGCACCCCAAATTTACCTACTACTCCCTCCACAACATTTTTGCCCACTTTATATATACACACATGTATATAATCATCCCCTAAGATGGAAGAGCAAGAAAAATGTCCACAGAAGATGAGAGTTCTCTGTGATGAAAGATTTCTAAATGTGATGATAAGAAACAGGAGAATGTGTATATTTGAGCAGTGTCTGAGAGATGTTACAGGAAGTAGTGTGCTGGCACACTGTAGGTAAAGAAGGCTTAATTAACTGGGCAATATAAGTGATATCAGCAGTGAATACACAAGATTATACAGCCAGGTAGCTATTTCTAATAGGGTTCATGGATCACAAACACAGAAATGAAAGGCATATAATACAGTTTAGAAAAATTTAAGAGTAAATTCCATTCTAACTACTTACCTTAGCTAACACTGCAGTGAGGATATTTAGTGCAAGCTTGGACTCAGGGGTGTCCAGTTGACTGTAATATCTGATAGACTCAATCAAGTCTGTAGTCTGTTCTCTAAAATCTCCCAAGAGACTTCTACCATAATAGTCTCCAGAAGGTGGCATGTAATCTCCCAAGAGACTTCTACCATAATAGTCTCTAGAAGGTGGCATGTAATCTCCCAAGAGACTTCTACCATAGTCTCTGGCATGTGGCCAGTGATCTCTCATGGGATTTATATCATAGTCTCTTGCTTGTGACGAGTAATTTCCCATGAGACTTGTATCATAGTCTCTTGCTTGAGGTAAGTAGTCTCCCAGGAGACTTGTATCATAGTCTCTTGCTTTTGGTGAGTAGTTTCCCAAGAGACTTGTATCATAGTCTCTTGCTTGTGGTGAATAGTTTCCCATGAGACTTGTATCATAGTCTCTTGCTTGAGGTAAGTAGTCTCCCATAAGACTTGGAAGACAGTGTGTAGCTTGTGGTAGCAAGTCGTGTTGAGACAGTGGGCGACGGGCACCTCTCACTAGAGCTCCACCACTGGTCCAGGTGTTCACCATCGTCTCGCCTCTGGAGAAGGCCTTCGTCTTCCTGTATATTTATCAAATAATAGTGATAATGCATAACAATAAATGACAGTGATAATAAATAACTAAAAATATAAACTACAACATAACTAACACTGCAAAACAACAACAGAGGAAGTATAGAAACTTTATTATACTTTATTAAGCTAATGTTTTGTTTGGAGATGAAGGATTGTCAAGTTTATAAAGAATAAAAGGGAAACATGGTGTGTGCATGATCTAAACACATTTACCATGTACTCTATACACTTGGGAAAGCTTGACCCCCAAGTAAAACACTGTCTTAGTAGTGCTTGACCCCTAAGTAAAACACTGTATTAGTAGTGCTTGACCCCAAGTAAAACACTGTATTAGTGCTTGACCCCAAGTAAAACGTCCTGGTAATGTTTGACCTTTTGACCTCCCAAGTAAAACATCCTGGTAATGTTTGACCTCCCAAGTAAAACGTCCTGGTAATGTTTGACCTCCCAAGTAAAACGTCCTGGTAATGTTTGACCTCCCAAGTAAAAAGTCTTGGTAATGTTTGACCTCCCAAGTAAAACATCCTGGTAATGTTTGACCTCCCAAGTAAAACGTCCTGGTAATGTTTGACCTCCCAAGTAAAACGTCCTGGTAATGTTTGACCTCCCAAGTAAAATGTCTTGGTAATGTTTGACCTCCCAAGTAAAATGTCTTGGTAATGTTTGACCTCCCAAGTAAAATGTCTTGGTAATGTTTGACCTCCCAAGTAAAATGTCTTGGTAATGTTTGACCTCCCAAGTAAAATGTCCTGGTAATGTTTGACCTCCCAAGTAAAATGTCTTGGTAATGTTTGACCTCCCAAGTAAAATGTCTTGGTAATGCTTGACCTCCCAAGTAAAATGTCCTGGCAATGTTTGACCTCCCAAGTAAAATGTCCTGGTAATGTTTGACCTCCCAAGTAAAATGTCCTGGTAATGTTTGACCTCCCAAGTAAAATGTCCTGGTAATGTTTGACCTCCAAGTAAAATGTCCTGGTAATGTTTGACCTCCCAAGTAAAATGTCCTGGTAATGTTTGACCTCCCAAGTAAAATGTCCTGGTAATGTTTGACCTCCCAAGACTGTTCAACTGGCTCCCAACATACATAAGCGGGATTACCAATAGACCCCTGTCTGTCTTCAAAGAGAGCTGGAAAAACCAGCCAGGCTGCAGTTTGTACTTCAGTTTGTGAACAGCCAACAGTAACAGCCTGGTTGAGTAGGCCCTGATCCACCACGAGGCCTGGTCATGGACCAGGCCATGGGGGAGTTGACCCCCAAACACACTCCAGGTATTACTACTATTACTAATACTCCTACTGCTCCCACTACTACTACTATTGCCACTACTACTATTACTCCTACTTCCACTACAACTCCTCTACCACCACCTTCTCCACCTGCTCATCCACCACCACCCTCTCCACCTGCTCATCCACCACCACTTTCTCCTCCACCTGCCCATCCACCACCACCTTCTCCACCTGCTTCTCCTCCTTTGTCCACAGACTAATTGGGGTTTGAACCCATTCTGTGATTTGTTTACAATCATGTCCTTACAATGTTGAAAGCCACATTCGAACACTGTTGTCGAACACAAACCTGTTTTGGTAGCTGCCGCCACCACCACTGCCGCCGCCGCCACCACTGCCTTTGAAACTGGATGACCATTTCTGACTAGCAGGCATCCTGAAATATTGCAATACTGTCAGCTGCACAGATTAAACTACAGTTCCTTAGCTTTATTTTAAAT